ACCACTAAACTACCAGAGCCATTTGATAATATAGTACAAAATATAACACACACACACACTCCCTCCATTAAAAAATATAAGGTATTTTTTTGAATAATTGAGTATTCAAAAATGTAAGGCATTTTTAGTCTTTTGAGGTGTAATCATTACCTTTTTTTAAAAGTGCCCCTATGAATAGATCACTTTATATTTTTTGTGTGTAAATAGGGATAATATGAAAAAATAAGGTTATTTAAAAATAATAACTACTTTATTGGGGTGAGATTTGGTTAAAAATACCTTACATTTTTTAATAGAGGGGAGTATATGTTATAAGCTTTTGTTTTCAAGCATTTATATGAGTTGTTAATCATGGATGTATTGTTATTCAAATACGAACAATTACTTATAAATATATGAATACAATTTTTTTTCATACATAAAAAAAGTTGTCAATTTTTTATATCCAAAATTTTCAATTTTTTTAATATGTTCCTTCAACATTGATAGGTTATCAATATTATGTTAAATAAAAAATATATATGTTATACATTTATCTTTCAAGCATTTTCATAGACTTTCATTAATCATGGACACATTATTATTCATACTTGAGAACATTCACTTGTAAATATGTAAACATAATTGTAAATTCATTTTTTATGTATAAACAAGCATTGTTTATATATTTACAAGTGATTATTTAGATATAAATAACAATGTGTCCATAATAATCAATGCCAATGAAAATTCATGAAAGATAAATTTATAATATATATATATATATATATAATTAACCATAATTTGATAAGCAATTCATGTTGAAGCAACGAGTTTGTTTAAAAATTTGAAAAGGTTGGGTTTAAAAAATTAACAATCCTTTTTATGCATGAACAATTATGTTCACATATTTAAAAGTGAGTGTGTTTTTGATATGAATAACAATGTACCCATAATTAACTAAGCCTATAAAAAGCTTGAAAGATAAATTTATAACAATATTTTTTTATTTAATATAATATTGATAGAGAAACAAGTTGAAAAAATTGAAAAAGTTGGGTTTTTAAGAAATTGATAACTTTTTCATGTAGGAACAAGTTATGTTCACATATTTATAATGATTGTTCGAATATAACAAAAATGTATTCATGATTAACCAAAGCCAAGAAAAATGCATAAAAATAAATTTATAACATATAGTTTTTTTTATTAACATAATATTGATAACCAATAATTGTTGAAGGAATAGTTGTGAAAAACAAACTTTTTTTATATATAAAAAGTCGTGTTCATATGAACAAGTGGGAAAAAAGATGACAACCTTTTGTTTTGGTATAAACCAGCAGGTTTTTTACATATTTATAAGCGAATGTTTGGATATGAACAATAATGGTGTTCATGATTAATCAAAACTAAGAAAGTACTTGAAAAATTAGTTTATAACACATATATTTTGTTATTTAACATAATATTGATAACTAGTCAATGTTGAAGAAACTATTATTTAAAAAAAGTTGGGTTTAAAGAATTAATAATTTTTCTTATGTATGAACAAGTCATATTTACATGTTTGCAAGTAATTGTTAGAATATGACCAACAATATATCCATAATTAACTAAAGCCAATGAAAATGCATGAAAAATAATTTTATAACATTTTTTTATTTAACATAATATTGATAACTATTAAATGTTGAAGGAGCAAGTTGTTAAAAGAATTTAAAAATTAGATTTAAAAAATTGACAACTTTATTTTGTATATGAACAAGTCATATATACATATTTAATAAGTAATTGTTTGAATATGAACATGTCCATGATTAACCGCCATTCATGTAAATGCTACAACATATATATATATATATATATATTCTCAAATGGCCTTGGTAGTGCAAAAATGAACTATCTTTCTTTTTTGCAACACCAGGGGGTCAACTCCTTTAACCGAATTTGATTGCTAGCACTGGCAACCAAAGCTCCAATGATTGGCAGCTGCGTGCCGGCCGCTAGTGTGATCCTCCCTGTCGGTGACAAAGCTCCAGCAACTTGTGCGTGGCTTAGGCGATCAATGACAGTGACTTTTTTTTTTTTAAAAAAAAAGGCATATTTGCATCATTTCTGCTGATAATTTAATTACATAAAGGGCTTTTTCGGCTTGTAGAGGAATTTCATATTCTTTGAGCCTTCATGTAGTTATCTTACCTCTGAGAGCCCTAATGGAAAATATCAAAGGTTAGTGGGAATACATAGACAATCAATTAAAAAATAAAGATAACACGGTTATAACATTACGTGCAGATGTCTATCTCTCTATATCATAATAATATGAATGTTCATATCTCTTACATTATTTTACATTTTTCAAAGGTTGTGACTAATGGGATTCTTAAGATTCATCTTCCATATATAAAATTTATATCTTCTTTATGATACATTATTTTTAATTAATTGTGTAAGACTTTTGAGTTGTAAGTCATTGCCTATATATTATATATATGGTATCTCATTTATATTGTGGTTTCAACAAATGGCATGTGACAAGAACAATCAGTGACTTTTGGTGATTTAATTGGTGGTTAAAAATGTCATTGCCTTAAAGGTTAATTGTTCCACTTTGACTGATATCAAAGATTTGTGTGACTTTGAAAGACTTTTGTTGTAGCCTTGAATAATGTTTAATGAAATTGATTGTGTTATTGGAATACTCCTTTTGGTTCTTATTGTAAGATATTTTTAATCATTTTATACATTTTAAGAAAAAAAAATTTTCTTGATATCATAAAAAATAATATATACTTTATTTACCCTTGGTTTTAATTATGATACAAATATATTAAATACTTTTATATTAATCAATAAATGATAAAAATTTAAGGAAATGAATATTTCAATGTTGAGGATGACCCTTTCATGGAAACATCAAGGACATTTGATATTTCAACTGAGGATAATGCCTTTTATATTAGAGAAGATCATGCGGAAAGGATTTGGATTGACGAGGGATAATTTAAAAACACACAAAAGAAAAAACAAAAAATAAAAAATAAATTTAACACTATGGACAGTTTTTTTATATTATTAGAGGATAAATATTATGGTACACATTACCCCTAATAAGATCTAGATTAGTTCAAATTTAAACTTTTTATGTTATTTTATATTTATTAAAATAAAAAAATATGTTAAAAAATAGAAATCTTTAATAAATTATTTATCACAAATCTAGCCAATACATATTTTATCTAGATAAGAATTTAATATTTTTATTAATTTTTATTAATTGACTATTTAGATGTACTCTAAATAGTACATATAAAATTTAAAAGGTTTAATTTATATTAAAAATTTATAATTTTAATTAATTGATTATTTCAATATACTCTAGATAGTTCATATTTAATATTATAATTTTTTTATAATTTTTTATTTGATAAGTATAATATAAAATATTTAAAAAATATGGCAGAGATTATTTGAGAAAAACTAAAAACACCCATATCACCCCTGTGGGGTGATAAGCATGGTTCTCATCAATATTGATGAGCACAGAATGCGGTCCCAAAATTGAAAAAAGTCCTTCATTATTACAAAAAATATACCACATTTTAGATCAATAATTATTTCTATAATATTCTATAATAAGACCAAAAGAAATGCTAAGTAAACTCTGAGAATAAAATGATCATGTTCGCATGACATCATAAAAATTAACAATTGAAAGCAATGTTTTAAAAACTGGGCTAGTTAGCAAATCACAATCCTTATAGTTTAATAGATTAGATTTGCAGTAAAACTAGTAACATTATAATAAATAAAAATAATATTTTATACAATTATATAACTAAAAATATTGATAATATCATTCTCAATTCAACATTGTTCAGTCTTAAGCTATTAAATTTTAATTTTCTTCTTTTTTTTCATTTGTATATACTTTTTATTTATCTTGTTTGTCCTCTTAAATCAAATTATTTTCAATTTTTTTCTTTTACAATTTGATTCATATAATGAAAATAAACAAATCATGCACTCATTTTACAACCATCAAGAGGAAGTTTATTGAATAAAAAATTTTATTACTCAAATAAGAGTTAAAAGGAAAAAAAAAAAAAATTCAAAGCAATCCAACTACTCTGAATTCCGAGTTAATTTTGATTCTGTCAAAACTGCTTAGTTCAAAACCATTCAAAATGAGTTAATAAGTCAAACCAAACCCCTTTTGCATCCAAGTAGTGGTCAGACTGTCCGAATTGGTCTAGTTCTTAAAACACTAATTGAAAGCCAACAATAATTTGTCTTGGCCATTGAAAAGATATTGCCTTGTCATAATTATTGAAATAAATTTCTAAGCGTTTGGAAGAAAAGTTATTGGAAAAAAAAATGTTATAACCATGCACCAATTCATTGAAAGTAGATATCCAAATTGGTTATGCAGCCAGGGTAATAAGATGGTAAGAAATGTCAAAAGTAATTATAATGTGGCCAGAAGCCATATAGACAACTGCTTACGCTTAATCACTCTAAAACTTGGTCCTGCGTTTTAAAGATCGACGAAAAGTCCCTCTGAAAATCTGTGTAATCCATTAAAAGTGACATTCGTCTCTCAACAGAGTAGCAAAACCTGGTTTGGTCAGGCAAACCAATAAATGGGAACATGAAATATCACTTTCCTGGAGTTCAGAGTTGTTCATTGTGTTGTTGTTGTTGATTTTATTTCTGCTTATTAAGGCATGATGGTTGTCTTGCAGTGAGTCTGTAGTAACTTTATAATAGTTGTAGTTATAATGTATTTTGACTTCTCATAAAAAAAGAAAATTGCTTGGACAGCAAAATCATCACCAAAATAAACATGTAGAAGTATATAATTATTTCTAAAGACAAATCAGTATCATAATTCATAACGTTTCAAACCTTAATGTAAAGATTAAACAATCAACATAATAAAGCTTAATCAAATATCCTAACCCATTATAGTTCAAACCATAATTAGGATGGATATTAACTCGTGTACACAAAATTGGTAAGAACCTAACCTATCAGGCAACCTGTTTCCTTTCATTGTTACAATTACCATTCTCACATCGTTATTCATATTAGCAGCCAAAACCAGCAGCATCATTGATGTACTAAACAAATTCCCAGTCCCTGAGAACTTGTATAATTTTATGTAAAAACATATTCAAACAAATCTTAACTCCTTTTTTTCTCATTTACTTTAGAGGATGAATAAGTATGCAGGCTTCATTAGTTGTAAAATGAGAATAAACACAGAAGCTGAGAACTTCTCAAGGATCCTTCTTGCAATTAAAGGTAAGATGGTACTCACACAAGCTCCAGCTAGAGAGATTTGTTGCGTGCTGAAATGATAGTTCAGGAAGAATGGAGCGATGGAGATGCCCATAACTTAACTTTCTTGTCAGAACTGGCTGTGGCTAAAACCAACACTTGATCATTTCCTGCAGAAGTGAACATAATATTAGCCGTCAAAAACATATATGTATTAGAATACGTTTAAACCTTGATCAACTAAAGAGAGGATTGAAAGTATACAAGTTTAGATAAGTCCTGTCAAATTGGTTTAAGCTATTTCGATTAAAAGACAAACATAATACATGCTTAAATCAATAAAATTTAATATGGTATCACAGTCAGTTGATCAGGGACCCAAAAAAAAGAAAAGAAAAGAAAAAGAGGTGACAAAAACAAAAAGAAAAACAAAGATTCTCGACTTGAGGTCTCTAAGACCCAAAGAAGTAGAAGCCTAGAAGAAGAAGAAAAATTAAATAAATGGAAGACAACAAGAAAATAGAAAAAAGTAGCAAGAGGAATATAGAATACATTCAAAGTCCCACATATCTTAAAATAAGTACTATCAAATTAGTTTAAGCTATTTTCATAGAAAGATAAACCTAATATATACCTAAATCAACAATATGATGGTTAAATTTCCATGATTAAAGGATACATGCTGATTAGAATTAGATATGTCCTAAGTATAAACTATCCAGATTCATATCTAGAAGAAATTAAAAATGACAAAAGGTATGTTCTCATTTCTTCCAAGGATTGAAATCAAAATTCATGGCTAGGTTTGAACAAACTTTTGTTTTTCTCTTCTAACATTTCTAAGAAACATATACAACGGAACAGTTTGGAAAGAATTGTGCATCAAAATAAGAAATGCATTAGAAACTTTAACCAAAAGTAGAGTCAGATACTCAGATGAGTCTTACCCATTGGAATAGTTTTAGGTGCCCATGAAATGCATGTTATGTCACCTGCGAGTGAAGAAAATAATCAATGACTAGAAGGTCGTGAACATGATTTAACAGTGCCAGTAATAGAATTTATGCTTGGGCTTACCATCATGGGCTTTTCAGCTGTATCCAAAACCACTCCAGTCTCAACAGATAACCATTGCAATGTGGTACCATGCGTAACAGCCAAAATCTTTCCATCAGGGGAAATACTAAGGCGGTCGTAGGGCAAAACCATGCCATTTGAATCATGAAGAGGAATTGGGAACACCTTCAAAGTCTTTGGATCCTCATCAAGATGATAGCGTACTTCAATGTAAAAGAAAGATATAGGTAAGAAGAATCTAATCAAATAATTAAACTTTTTAGGCATTCCCTAGGAACAGTTGGGGGGAGACCTATTGGACCAAACCTCAAAACGGATAGAAATGACTATCAAATAACAAGTATACTCTCACCAAAGCTATGCCAAGAAGAAAATGAACGAGGGGGAAAACAAGGCCATTGAATCTCATCAAATTACCATAAAACTTCATTTAACCAGATGACTGCCTTTTACAACACAGTGAATTTACCATAGAAAATACACAAGAGGATGAAATACTGAATGAAACATCAGGCAGTGGCAAGATAGACAGCATCACCCATACTAACAGAATTTATAGGAGGTCAGGACAGAATTTACAGCAAACGCTTAGCCAAACATCTACAACACCCATACAATGAGAGCAGCTCAAATCCAATTTCCCTTTTTTCTCTACAGCTCTACTCTTACACATGGGACCCATAAGTGTTAGTTACTACTATTAATTCAAGATTTACCCCTTCAGGGATTACCAATATATTCTATCAGAATCTGGCCAATTCAGGGATTACCTATATTCTCTCTGCTTGAGCTTGAGAACGTCGTCATTGGTCCATTAGTCACCTCTAAACCATCCCCATTTCTGGCTGAACCCACAATACCATGCTGTCTCCAACTGAGGAAGTTCTTGTGGCACAGTTTCTGGTTGCAAGGATTTTTTTTTTTTTTGAGGCATAAAACATAAAATGAATCCACGAAGTTTCAAGAAGTTTCAAACAATAAGCTACTAATCCAATCTTCATTATTTAATACAGAGTCAATAGAATGTAGGGTACAGCTTCTGATAGTTTTTCTTTGGCAAATCTAGATACTCAAGTGCCTCCAGTGATTTCTCATTTTGTTTGGCTGGGGCTGTTAGTGAATGTGCAGGGTGGTTCTCTCAATATGCATTACAGCTTCATTTAATCAGCTACAGTTAGGTTCTGCTAGACATATCAACCCTTGAATAAATTAAATTTGACGATCGTGCAAAACAAAAACATGTGACTTATACATACCATTGATATTCCATATTCTTATGGTCCCATCCTTGGATGCTGTGATCATTTGCTCTGAATTTGGGGTGAAGCATAACCAAGTTACTGCACTCTGAGAAAACCGCAAAAAAATCACAAATCAGGATTCAGATAGTACATGCCAAACATCCAAGAAGAAGTAGATAATATTAGCAATTACAAAGTTATTTAATGTCAAGTAGCCACAGGGCACAATCACACAATTACAATTGCATTCTTTAGAACATGATTTAGAACACGAGAACTCACATCAAACTTCAAAAAATATATAATACAAATGAAAACAATCATGTTTGCATGTTTGAACGACATAAAAAATGGCAAAACTATATTGTTCAAATAATTAACGTACAGCATAAAGCATTAGGAAAGAAAGTTTATTATCTCATCAAGATGGGGTTTCTAGTATCTTACTCTTTTTCACAGCTATATTACTAATTTTTATGCAATCTATTTTTGTCTTAGTTGCATAAACACTTCTCTTTATCTCAGTTTCACTGATCTTCCCACAAATATCAAGGCCTGATTCAGTTTCAAACTGATACCTTATTTGTGAAGCATGTTTCTGGTGGGAATTGGCAATTTTGATTGTACATGCAGATTGCAGATGATACCATGATTACAGGTGATCTGAGTGATGAGATGAGCTGATGAAAAACGCTTGCAAGAAGTTTGAGGTAAAAGATTTGGGACAAGTAAGATACTTCTTGGGAATGGAAGTTTTCAGAACAAAGAAAGCATTTTTGTATCAATGAAAATAAACTCTAGGTCTTCTTGAACAAACAGAAATATTAGGTTGTGATCGAGCTCAAGATTCACGGCAGATTTGCAAATCATTTCCTAGGACCTATAGCAGAATTTATGGGAAGGCAAATGGTGTAGGAAAGAGTAACTCCAGTAGATAAGAAATTATCTTGAGGTTCCTGATCGTAGGGGAAAAGAGGTAATACATGAGTAGGGATTAGATGTGGCTAGGGGGATGAGCAGTGTAGTCTTTTTGCGGTCCTCCATTTCATCCAAAGAGGGAGGAGTTAGTCTTTTGGAGAGAGAAGTGTATTAAAGAGAGTTCTGGCCTCTCAAAAAATCCAATGTCAGTACCTTGTGCGTCTTCTGTTTAGTTTCTTGAATCTGCAATTGTGTTGTTGTCGCTTGTTTTGACATTTGGGTACAAGGAGGTCAAGGTACTGGCTAGAACCAGAGGCCATTTATGTCATCGGATTCAGTCCTCATCTTATAATATCAAAATCTCAGTTATCCCCATTCGTTGGTTGCTTGCTGTTGTTATTTGGTTATTTCTGTTTGCTTAAAGTGCAGGTCCTATCAATTTGGTATCAGAGAAGCTCCAATCAGGGAGAGAAAAGATGGCAGAACATCGAGAATATTTGAAACGAGGAATGAGGAAATTGAAGGCTAATGTTGACCAGCTTGAAAGTGCTGTAGGAACCCTCAGAGAATGGGTCCTGGAGATGAGAGAAACCTTGGCTCAGTTGACAGAAGACTCCAGAAAAGTGAAGGCCGAGGGAGAGCAAGATTTCAAGGGGTTGAAGAGGAAAAGAAGATCAAAGTAAAATCTGATTGGAAGCTTGTAGTGTTACCAAAATCCTTTGAGGTTGGAGATGAAGATGATTCTAAAGGAAGTCATTTTGCAATTGCAGAGGATCAACCACTGAGGAAGAAGTGAAGAAAGATAAAATATCCAGTAGTAAACCTCAAATCAACTTTTGATCAAACCCAATCAAAATCAAAGAAGCGCTCAATGTTAGTGTGGCCATAGTTTCCTTTCCATGAAGCAAACTGCGTCCAGTAGATCCTTTCAGGTAGCAAAAGATCTACCCTAACACTGCTCAATGGGTGGTTGTTGGTGAGGACATAAACTAACTAACCACAGTGATCGGGCATGCAATGTCAAGACAAATCACTGTGACATAGTTATTTCCCAACTAGTTTTGTATACTTATCAAGATCTCCAAAAGGCTCACCATCTGTCTTGGCAAGTTGCAAAGCACTACACATTTTGGTTCCCAATTTTATCGTCTTTGTCAAGTGTCAGCTAAACAAGGATATATTTCCTCATTTAGAAGTATACCCTTCTTACTTCTTAATACTTGAACTCCCCATAAGTATTTTAATAGCCCCAGGTCATTTGTTAAACTAAGAGTAAAGAAAGGCTTTGAGTGATGAGATGCTAGAAGTATCACTCCGGCAATCATGATATTGTCAACATACACAAGAAGAAGAATCATGCTTGCATCTGTTCTTCATCTTTTGTTTAAAACTAAATGGTCGCATGGATATTCATCCCAAACTTTTGAACTAATCAATGAACCTTCCAAACTAAACACGAGGACCTAGCCACAAACCACATAAAGATTTGCAAAGGTGGCATACTTTTCCATATTTCCTTGACCAACAAACCTAATGTTGTGTTTGGATGTAGGGGGATTTAGATTTGGATTTGGGTCTATCATTTGGATCCATAAAAATTTAAGGACTAAATCCATAAATTCTTATAATTTCTTTGTAATTCCAGATTGCTCCTACATCCTAGTTATTTGAAATACTAGCCACTCACCCTCTCATTTTCTTTCCACTTTCATTTTCCATCTCTCTTTTTCATTGTCTTTGAATTTGAAATTTTTTTATACCACACAAACAAAGGATTTTAATTATATGTATTTTAAATCTAAAATTTAAATCCAAATCCAAGTCCACCAATCTAAACATTACTTAAGTGGTTCTTCATGTAGACTTCCTAGGTAAGTTCACCATGCGGAAACAAATTCTTCATATCCATTAGTAAAGAGATCAACCACAAGGGGACGCTATAGATATGAAAAGACTAATAGAGGAAAGTTTGGCCACTCATGAAAGTGTTAAGTAGACAACACTATAGGTCTAAGCACAACCTTTAACAGCAAGGCAAGCTTTTAAACAAGCCATGCCATCAAGATCAACTTTTACCATGAATACCCATTTACATCAAGGAACTTTCTAGCCAACAGATAGATCCACTAAAGTCCAAGTGCCATTATCATTTAGTGCCTTCATCTCTTCCACCATTACAACACAGTAACTAATGAGATAAGGCTTCATTAAAGGTTTTAGAAATTGAAAGCATCCAAGGAAGCAATAATAGATCTACAATTGGTCACAAGGATAAAGGATCCTATCCTGAATCAAGTAAGACTGAAATGAGTTCAGAAAGCATTCTTCAGCATTATCACTTCGTAAAGTATGCACAAGGACATTGAATGGAACTCTAATTTTGCAACAAACAAGAAAAAAATGGGTAAGCAATTCAAAACAATGGTTGTGAATCTACTAGTATGGCACATCTCACGCACTAAAGTGCCGAATTTTGGGAACGGCCATCTAAAACTCCTTCAGTGGGTGGGGACACCCATAGACCACTGCATATGCGATCTAACACTAACCCACTAATGTGCTCTCACCAAAGAATGAAAACCAAAACCTAAGAAAAGAACACAATGGAAAGCTCTCAATAGCTCTGATACCATTGTTATCCTTGATTTTACACACAGCAAGGTCAACATCTACACATAACAAGAGCCTCTATGATTATGGCTCATTATTATCATATGATTATACTATCCTTACAATCAAGGGGACTATTATAATGAAAATTTACAATAAATGAAAGAATATTTCCTAATTCTAATACAACCTATCGAGTGGCATATGAAAATTGTTTGCAGAATTTGGGCTATCTTAAAACGACTTTTGGAATAGGACCATTGTTCAAAAGGGAAGCTAGCATAAGCATAGAAGAGGTTATTGATGCAGACTGGGCAGCACTTATTACAAATAGAAGATTCACAACAGGCTATTTCAACCAGGATGTGGAGAAACCTAGTGACTTGAAGAGTGAATGCCATAGCTAGAGGAGTGTTGAAGTAAGATTTAGAGAACTAGTTACTGGGGTTTGTGAGGAAAAGTCATTAATAAGATTGCTTCAAGAACTTAGTACTACCGAAGAAGGTATTATGTGACTAGAGCGGCTATAGATCTCATAGATGATCCTTGAGCTTCTATGATCGGCATGACCTTTGGTTGCCACTCTGGAGGAAGACAAGTAAGATTTAGAGCTCTAGTTATTGGGATTTGTGAGGAAAAGTAATTAATAAGATTGCTTCAAGAACAGTACTATCAAAAAAGGGTATCACGTGACAATATGGCAGCAATTGGAATAGCAAAGAATTGTATTCATCAATATAGAACAAAACATGATGAGATTCATCACTATCGAACAAGGGGATTCGATGCTGTATTTTAGGGAATTTATTCATTATTTATTGTTTTTTATATTTTATTATCATCTTTTATCCATTTATTATCTTTAAGTCAGTTTTATTTATTTTTCATCCTTTAAGGGTTTAATTAGATTTAACCTAGATTTCATTATGGCCAAGCATACTAGAAATTCCTATAGGAACATGTACCTACAGAACCTTTCACTATTATTCACGGTGAAGAGTGGTCCTGCAAGGGAAAAGAGTTTGAATGGAGCATGTTGAATGCTGGTTTTGAGAATGATTGATTGCCCTTCTCCAACCCTTACTGTCCAACTTGATGGCAGACAGCTAATGCATTCTGGTTTGTCACATTTATTAATGATCATGCTAGACAAACTTGGGTACACCTGTTAAAGAAAAATCTGAAGTTGATAGGGTGTTCCAAAATTTTCATATTATGGTGCAGACTCACTTCTGGTAAAAAGTCCAGGTTCCAAGATTAGACAATGGGAGAGAATATTCAACTTTGAACTAGGAAACTAACTAGCTAATAATGGAATCATCCATCAAAGCTCATGTGCTTACACTCCTACACAAAATGTGGTCTTAGAGAGAATCGCCATCTCTTTGAGGTTGCCAGGTCACTTCTTGTCTCACATGCACCTTATTCGTATTGGGATGAGGCAGTTCTAACATCTACACACCTAATTAACTGAACATCTTCTAAAACACTAAATTTCAAACCCCACAATAAGCTCTCCTTGAACACCATCCAAAAAATCAAACTATGTCCAACCTGCCATTAAAAGATTTTTGGGTGTACAGCCTCTATGCATAGCCACAATGGGGGGAACTTGGACCTAGAGCTATAAAATGTATAGGTGTTATCATCCACTGACACAAAGATACTATAGTACTTTAGATGTCACATTTCACGAGACAATCCCTACTACTCCAAAATATCCAATCAAGGGTAGAGAGCACATAATAAAAACTTAGTGGAATGGCTATTCGGCCATCCCAACCAGCAACAGCACCTGAAACACACCACTAGACCCAGAAATTACCTCTACCACTTCTGAGAGTCCGACTCACAATGACAGCAGTCAAAATGAGGATGTACAGCAGCAAACAGAGCCTGAACCAGCAGATGAAGACCCAGTTCCTGAAGCTGATCCAAACCAGTCATCAATCTCAGCCTCAAATCCCCCTAGTTATAATTTAGCATGGAATATTGCACTAAGAAAAGGAGTACGATCTTGTACTCACTATCAAACTGGAAGATGTCTCTTATGGTAAGTCAACTCCAAAATTTTGAGCCTATGTTGCTTATATCTCTACTGTCCAAATTCCAAAAGATGTGCATGGAGCACAAAAGATATTTGTATGGTGTGAAGCAATTCTTGAAGAGATGAAAGCATTGAAGTAGAATCAAACTTGCCAACTCGCCAATTTACCAAAAGGAAAAACACCGGCAGGATGTAAATGGGTGTTTACTGTTTACAGTTAAATATAATCCAGATCGTAGCTTCATGTGTACAAGGCTTGACATGTAGCCATGGGATACACTCAAACTCATGGGATTGATTTCCAAGAAACGTTTGCCCCAATGACAAAATTCAATATTATAAAGGCACTTCTCTCACCCGTTAATCTTAGTTGGCCATTGCTACAGCTAGAGGTTAAAAAAGCCTTCCTCAATTGAAATCTGGAGGAGGGAAGTGTATATGGATATACCTCCAGCTTTTGAGTCAAACAGCAATAAGAAAAAGTGTAAATTGCACAAGTCTCTTGAAACAACCCCCATGAGTATGGTTTGAAAGATTTACAAAGGTGGTAAAGAAAAATGGGTACTACCAATGCCAAACAGATCGCACAATATTCACAAGACATGCCCCTAATGGTAAGCATACTCTTTTGATTGTCTATGCGGTTGATATAGTGATTACAAGTGATGATGACTATGAGATCAGGAGATTGAAGGAATCTCTTACCTCAGACCTAGGAAATTTAAAATACTTCCCAGGCATGGAGGTGACCAGGGCTGGAGAGTTTCACATAGAAAGCATACGCTAGACCTGTTGGAGAAAACAGGGATGTTGGGTGTCGACCAGCAAAGACACCCATGGAAGCCATTATAAGGTAGGATTGAAAAAGAAGGACAAGAAGAAGAAGAAACCTCCATCTCTGATTGACAGAGGATGATACCAAAACCAAAGTTTAGTTGGTAAATTAATTTACCTCACTCACACTGGGCCAGATATTGCCTTAAGTGTTGTGAGTTAGTTCATGGATGAACCAAATGTAGATCATCTCCAAATGGTTTACAAAATTCTCAGATATATGAAAGCTACACCCAGTAAGGGTATCTAATTCAAAAGGGGATCTCAAAAAGGGGTGGAGGTGCATACAGATACTGATTCGGGTGGGACAGTGGATGATAGATGATCAACAATTGGTTACTTCACCTTTAAGTGGGAAAATTTGGTAACTTGACAAAGCAAAAAACAACTAGTTGTATTTCAGAGTGGTGCAGAATCCAAGTATAGAGCACTAGCTCAGGGCATTTGTGAGGCCATTGGCTTCTTAGACTTGCAAGTATCAAGCTCCTCTGCGACAACAAGGCTGTCAAGATAGTGAAAAATCCTGTCCATCATGATAGTACTAAGCACCTGAAGATTGATTGTCATTTTATACCCAAAAAAAAAAAAAACGAAGCAAAGTAGTTGAGGTATTATAAATACCCTCTAAAGATCAAGTTGCAGATTTACTTACAAAGGGACTTCCAATTGAAGAGTTTGAATCACTCATTAGCAAGCCCAGCATGTTGAACATATACAGCCCAGCTTGAGAGGGAGCATCGAACTTCACATCTCAAGCTAGAAGGGGATTCAGCATTGTATTGTAGGGAATTTATTAATTATTTATTGTTTATTTTATTTTTTATTATCAGATTTTATCCATTTATTATGTTTAAGTCAGTTCTATTTATTTGTTATCCTTTCAGGGAATAACTAGATTTAACCTAAATTTCATTATCACTTTAGGCTAGGAGGCAGGCTTGTCGCCTCTAATATCTATACATGTACTGAATTTCCCTGAACGAAATAAGCGATTAAGAAACAAAATCAATCTCACCCGTTGTCATCAATCACTTTATCAAAGAAAAAGTGAATTCACGTTCAATTGAGGTGACTTTTGTTCCTGCCAATTCTCAAGTGGTAGATTATCCGACTAAAGCAATTGCCCAGTGAAGTTCAATGAACTAAGATCCAAGCTAGGAATGATCAACATTTGCTCCCCAACCCAAGGTGGGGTGTTGATGATTGCGCCAATAAGGCCTTACTTTTCTGTTCTTCTTCTATACTATTTTGTCATAGGCTAATAACATACTCAGATAGCTAGTTAGCTTTAAATTTCTAATCGTACCTTTTCTGTCACAAAGAGATCTGATTTGAATTAGAAAATCAGATCCAAGTCTAGTATTTCTTAACTGATCAAATAATATACAGATCAGAGGAACATGATTTTACCTCTGATTTCCAATTTCCAATATCTTCTATCTAATTCAAGGTAAAAATAAAATAATTACATCTCTCTTGAGAATTTACTTTAAAATTTGAAAGAACTATCAAGAAATATATAAATAAAATAAAGCACTCCAATAATACGTATAGTACATGAAGGTTAAAGTGAGACATAATAAAAAGACTTGACAACATTCTTTATTTTGTTTCAGTTCACAAATCAATCAAAATAATAATCCAACAAGAATATTATACCTTATGCCCCTTAAGCTGCATAACTTTTGAAACTTCCTTGACTGATCCATCCTTTGCATACACAATCTCCCAGACCTACCACATAAACAAACTTGAGATGAAGAATAAATTAAGCCTCATGATTGAACAGAATTAGTAAAAGCCTGCAGGTGCTTCTCATTTGATAAATCTGATAGTAGGGTTATAAGGCATGCATTTAAAGTAGGCCTTCTAACAAAGTCTTAACAATTGAGGCAGTCCTTATCACATTGATGATGAACTTAAGGTGATAAAAATAGTAACCTCAGGTTGACATACCCTTCAATTTCAGTAACAAAACCTATGAAGCATAAAAAGTGACAGAGTTATACTTGACATGTCAGACTATATATGCTTGTGCATTTACATATATGTATATATAGAAAATGAAATTTTGAATAACAATGAATAAATTATTTACTAAGATTACGAAAAAAGTTATGATAAAATAAGAACCAAATTCATGCATTTGAAATTACAACATCTAGGGATACCCGAGATTGTGAAATCCTAACTTTTATATTTACACTTGCCATTCATTGAACCCCATTGTTTCAGTTATTGTCCTTAGCTAGCATTCATTTTAAGAATGTTTGCATCAAACAGTAGTCCAATTAGCTAGTACTTACCACTTACCAGCACGTGCACACATAAATATAAACTCATACCTTAAAATTTATATTTGAAAAACTACGTTAAGAAATCTTGCTAATTATATTTTGCCCATTAATACTAACTTTAACATCTGCAGTAAATGCTGCTGCTGCAATAAAACGCCCATTAGATGATATAGCTGCCATGGTATTTTTCAATTGATTTGTATCCACATGGCCTAAATTCTTCCCAGATTTTCCATGCCAAAGAATGATGTCAGTCCCTGGATTAGAAACCAAGAAAATAATATGTATAAGAACATCATTAAGCACTGCATATCAGCACAAAGTGAGCAGTGACAATCATTTCATGAGTGGTCAAGATATATAGCACGTAATTGAGAGTACCAGACAGCATACTCTGGTGTAGTACCATGATTTAATGTTTAACTCAGAGATAACATCTCATAGGTAACGTAAGATAGTGATGAACCCAAAGTTATTAAGCCTAAAGGACTGAAGATGAATGAGAGAAGGATAGGAAAGAGACTCAAGCTGAGATAATTCATCATGAGCTGCCCAGAAAGGTTAATGAGTAACAAAGTGGGATGGGGAACCCTACCCCACTCCAAAAGCTAGCTATTGAGGCGAAAGAACTAGCCCACTAAAATACTCCATTGACCATCTTATACTACTCAATGGGACACTTGGCATCCCATAATACCAAATCTCCATCAATTAGCCTCCCATAAAAAGCCAACATACAGGTGGCTGCACTCCATGACACTTAGCTCGACCTTCTGTCAGTCAGCACCCTCCATGGATAGCCCTTTCAAGAACTATTGACAACCTAACTCTAATACCAATTGTGGGTACTTAAGTGGGATGATGAATCCTACCCCAAAAGCTACCAATTAAGGTAGGAGAATTAACGCATTTAAATACTCCATTGAGCATCCCATACTGCTTAATGTGGGACATGATATCCCATACTATCAAGTCTCCATCAAAGTTAGAAAAAAGAAATAACAATGTTTAGTACCTTACTATGGGTTGTGGTGTAAGAAAGGGTAGGGTAGTGTGCAATGGCGGAGCCAGGATCTTGAGTAGGGGGCAAAATCATTTACATATTAATAATTGAAAAAAAAACAAGAAGAAGAATTATTTGATAATTACATACTTTATAAATTTTCTTTACATGGTTTCATGTTTTGAAAATGTTGAACAATCAGCTTATTGTCAATGCTTTCGAATACATTGTTTTCAATATAAGTTATGAGACAATTATTTCTCTTAAAAAATCTCTCCATCTTCTATTCAAAATTTATACAATTTGAAACTATTCAATTACAATCTTATATATATTCAATACAAATGAGATGGCTAAAAAACTATATTTATGAAACAAAATAAGTACTTGAAAACAAAATCATATAACACAAATATTAAAATATATAACTAATTTTTTATGTTATTAAAATATTTCAAATAATGTGAAGAAAGGATGGTCACCTGTACATCTGCAAAAGCAGTACAATTTTTTGCTTTTTGCTATGTGTGAAGAATGAAGAATGGCTATTAAAAGCTCTTCTCTCCCCCAGCGTTTTGTCTTCTTCCTCCTTTCTCTTCTCTTCTCTTCTCTTAATTCATTCTCAAACTACTTTGCTGTCTCTGCTATTTTCTCTACATCAAAGACGAGGATTGAGGACCGACGGTAAAGACCAATTTCGCGATGCAGTTCCAGTACGGGAGACAAGGTGTCCAATTTTTTTCCCCAAATCTGATTTTGGGATTTGATAGGTACCTAAGTAGGATGGGAAACCCTACCTCAAAAGCTAGCTAATTGTTAGTTACATTTACAGTTTATTTTCTGGTTTTGCTTATTTTTAAGCTTAATAGAGTAGAGGGTTCCATCAGGATTTCAAACCATGCAGGGCAGATTTTTTTTTTTTCTTAAGGTTTAATAATGTTAATTTTTTATAAAATAATATTAGTATTTGGATATGTTGAAATTTTAAGCTAAATTCATTGGGCTTTGAGTTAAAAATAATAATAATAATAATTTTGGATCTGAGTTAAAAAGTAATATGAAATGAAGTTTAAAATGCAAAATATAAAAAAGAGGGGTGCAAAATATAAAAAGAAGGGGTACAAAATATAAACACTCATACCTCTATTCAAGTAATTTCTCCCATTTGAGAATACATGTGGTTCCGCCACTGGTAGCATGTAATAATAGGGTTTACATTACAAATATTATAATCTTATGGAATTTTTGACAAATAATAGGGATTTGATTACAAATTGTTTCATCATCTGGGCGTATATAAGAGCTGAAATCTTTGCATAGAAATATTTGTATAGAAATGCCACAAACAGTCAAAATCCTCTTTTAAAATCAGTTTCTTCTACATGGCATCAAAGCTTTGTTCCTTTCTTATTGAGCTCTTAAAATTTTTCTTCTCTCAGAAGCCAATCAACAAGTTGCACCAAAGAGGCACACCAATCTTTATTTGGTTATCATGCCATGCTCACTTTGACATACAACATAATCTTCCATCTTAGACAATGCTGACCAGTAATGTTTGTGAAGTTCCCGTCATCACATGTGCCTCTACATGGCAAATCACAAAACTACAATCACCATCATGCATCAGTGCACAACACTGTATCTCCAGCCAACATATAGACATGATCAATGGTCAGCATATTATCAAGCTCAATCCAATGCCTTCCCTGGTTAACGAACATCTGTAGGGTTCATCCTATTGCAGAATCTATTTGGCATTATTTTAAAATTTTCTTTATGGCAGCATAAAACAAACCTTACAAAAAGGACATCAGTGTTATTCCCTTGACACTGATTGCTCCTGCATAGCCACCAAAGTTAACTTCTTTGAATCCACACACTTCTATTCTTCCTCAACTTCCCATGATGTTCTCACTGTTATGAGGTACATCATTTTCCCTCATCACTACCCAAGTTTGAACCGCCACCTTGTTCCACATCAATCAAGCCACCATTAACTCCACACTCTCATCTAAACCAAATGCAACAAACCCTTTGGCAAATGAAATGGATATTCCTAATGATTAACATAGTTTGTACACTGCAAAAGTACTCATAACTCTTGTAATCCACGTCCTATTTACTATTTGTAGGCCTTAACCTAGTCCTAAAAATCAAAGCATTAAAAGTGAGAATATTCTAGGAATTCTAATAATTAAATGCAAATATTCTAAAATAATTTAAAAGATAATCTAATAATCTAAAATATTATTTTATCCAGATCAAAGCCTATCAAAATCTAAATGACCATTTTGATAAACAAAAATCCATCAGAGACTTTGATGGATCTTAGAAGATATCAATAGCTAGTTGGAAAGTTAAATTATTTGCCAATCACTACAAAATACACATCAGTCATTTACAAATATCTCCTTTGATGTGTGTGTAGCGACTCAATTCCCACAAAATACATATCAGTCATTGGGATGAAGTGATACATAGCATGACATATGCCAAAGAAGCACCTAGGAAAGGCTTGCTATATGAGCATCACATGAACTACCAAGTTGTTTGATATGCCAACAATTGGGTAGGATCTCCTACTGATCAAAAATCTACTTCTAGTTACTGCATTTTTTCTTGAGGACATCTTGTCTCTTGAAAAGCGAAAGGCAAGATGTGGCAAGATCTAGTATAGAAGCAGAGTAGCGTGCCATGGCATTGGCAACAAGTCAAACAGTTACTCCAAGAACTTCAATTTTTAGATTCTCACAAAATGACACTCAAGTGTGACAATCAAGTCACTCTATGCATTGCCCTAAAACCAATCTTTCTTGAAAGGACCAAGCATACTGAAATTGATTATCATTTTATCAAAGAGATCCTATCCAGGACTATCACCAACAGCCACAGCAACTCCAAAAATTAACTAGATGATGTTTTTGTCCAAAGCATTAAGAGTATCCCACATTTCCTACATTTAAAACAAGACTGAGCATGCAATCTATTAACTAGCTTGAGGGAGAGTTAATTAAGAATATTGATTATGAATATTGTAAATAATTATGAAGATTGCATTGATTCGAGTATGACAGGGAGAGTATTCAGTAATTATTAGCGTTCATTATCATTTCATAATCTTGTATCCTCACTATAAATAAGAGGTTCATATGAGTTAGAACTCACTAACTACATGGCAAAACCTAAGTGGGTGTGTTCCTTTATAACAAAACTAGCAAACCAGTACTGAAACACGTATCATATCAGACTATCTTAAGCCCAACATAAACACCATAACTAAACACAGAACTTCTACAAATTGAAATCTCACAAAAAATATGGCAAGCTGCTGCATATACGAACAGGAAGAAAACATTGAAAGGCACTTAACCCTTTACTATAGGTTCATTAATATTTCCTTAATATACATAATTATCCTCAATCTTAAGGCTTCTAATTAAGGTAAATACTTTCTTATGGTACCTTTCCTTAACTATAAATACAAAAAATGTTTATAAATTTGCAAGGTGAAAACACCTACTATATGAACTGTCACAAAATGTTTTACAATACTGTATGCTGGATAAAATGTCAAACAGATACCTTCTGAACAAGAAACAACAAGTGTACTCCCATCAGCACTTCCATGACTTGCAGTGGTTCCAAACAGAGTCAGTATAGCCTTTTGGTCATGAACTTTGTGATGTTCCCACTTAATTTCTGGGAGAGGAAGCTTAGCTTGTGGCTTATTTTCCAAAGTTTTAGGGTTCTGTTCTCCATACATGTATAATGAACTAGTAGAGAGATTATGAGTTGCTACAACAATTGAGGACACATCATCAGAAAACGCAATTGCAGTTGGTTGACCTCCAGCAGGCAAATTTATTCTCATAAACCTGCATAAACTCAACAGAATGCAATGTAAGAATAATGCCCATCATTATGATTGAGTATGCATCTATATGGGTATTGAGAAGCTTAAAATAAACTTACTTGAAACTTTTGCTTAATGCTCATCCAACTTAAATACCTCACAACTCCATCAGCACAAGCTGTTTGCACAGAAAAAGAAAATTAATAAAACAGAAAAGAGTTCAATATCATGCTCATACAAATGAAAGTTAAAAAAAAAATAAAAAAAAAAAAGCACAAAAGCAGATTCGCAATATTTATAATAAAAGAGAGAGAATGATATGAAAAAGGTAGAAGAAAGTAGAATAGAAGAGAGAGATAAGATAGGATTTGAGAAAAAGAGGAAGAGAATTTAGAAAAGAAGGAAGGAGGAACAGAGAGAAAAGTCAAGAGAGAGAATCAGGAGGTTCTGAATGATGCATTTTATTAAGATATCAGCCTATTACAATTAACGGAAACCTAGTATTTATAGGCTTTAGGTGCAGAATAGTCAAACAGAACAGCAAATTACCTAACTTCCCTTTAATAACTACCACTGTCTAGATAACACACGGTTTTATTATTTTACATATCAGGAGACCTCAATCATGCATGATACATATGCATAAAAAGAATTGGTCTTTTAAACAAACACCCCTCCCACCAAAAAACAAATGTCAGGATGATGCCACCTTAATCTCACAAAATGAGAAATATTACAATCATTAAATAAAAAAGATGCACTTGAAGCCCTTTATAGCCACAATTCACTTAAATAATGGAAAGAGGCAATGAATGACGATAGATAGAGTGATGTGTCTTGCAGAGTTTAGGAAGCAGTAAATATATCGCTACATCATAAATTTCATTACTTGCAAATTCTAACATGATATCTTATGCTACAACAACAACAACACCATAACAACAAGCAGCTTTACCTCACTAGATTGGCTCGTTTACATGGATTGAACAATGCCATTTTGCTCCATCATTAACATGATATTCTTATGCTATTGAATTGAAGTATTTTAGTCAGGTATTTCAGATATAACTGGAATGAGGTCGGAGGAACACTTCAGAGGACAAAATAGTCACTTCCAACTAATTGGGCACAGATATTACCAACAATTAACATTTCCATTTACTGCTAACGACCAAAAGGTTGCTGAATTTAGAGAGGAGGCAATAACTCTGAAGGAAGTAGGAATCAAAGGGGAAAATAAGCTTCTTCTTCAGACACTGTGAGCCCAACCTTTGTGAACAAGGTTGACACAAATCCAAGAAGCCAAGCCCAACGCAATTTTTTGGCATACAAATATATTGGACGTTATTAGAGAAACCCACACCTTTTATCCATCTTAAAAGAAAACCAGATGGAGGAAGCATGCGCCTGTCTTTTCCATACATGAATTTTGAAACTAAGGTGCTCCTCTCATCTAGTGTAAAGATAAAGAAACGAGGGGATCGGGGATTTCTTTTTAAGATGAAGAAATCCCGACGCAAAAGGCACCAGAACAGAGAAGAAACAATCTTTGATCTATCCTAGAAAATGAGGGATGCCTATGGCTGAATCATTTAAATCTATGCCAAATAAAGAATTATTACGCTGCAGGGTGAAGGTGTAATAATAGACAAACATCCTAAATGCAAAATGATGTGTAATAATCAGAAGTGATCATTCAAGCCATGTGTTTTCATATATACAAAATTTTAAATGGCATCAAAGTTCATAATGCTTGCCAGAATGTTGGAAAAAACCCTTTGTTGAGAGAAGAGGATGAAAACATTTTAAAGCAAACTCAACAATGCACATTAACACCATAGTTATATGAAGATTGCTGTCACTTAATTCCTTGGTTTTATAAGTCAAAACACACTCACAGATAAGACAGCAAATTACAAAATCTCACAAAGCACAACATACAAATAATATATATAATATATCAATCTGGTCTAATACATATATAATATATTTTCCGTACCAAGTTACATCACATGACATTTAATGTCGTAAACACCTGCTACAAACAAATGATTCTAATACCTGTGGCCAAACTTCGTCCATCTGAGGAGAAGCATATGCCTGTTACAGCATCACCGTGGCCTTTCAAAGTATTCAAATCCAATGGATGATGTCGCTTGGCATGATCCTAACATTCAATGATCAGAATGTAAAGATAAAGAAAAAGCCAAACCGCAAGATATGCACCTAAATCACGAACATAAGTGGTTCTGCTATTACGCAGAGCTTCTTGAAGATAGCATTTCATCTGGCAAAATCCATTGCTATAAATGATTTTTAATCATACAAAAATATGTTTAATCACAAAAATATGAGATGCATTAATTCGAAACTCTACTTCCAGAATTTTAGAAGGAAAAAAATCCGAAACGACATAGGCTCAACACTAAGCAAACTTGCAACAAGTAAGCATTTTTCACTCGAATCTATTCCTGTGGACTAAACCTCAAAAGTTCTGCACAGTCCAAGAAACCAAGCAATCATACTTCTTAGCAATTTATCAATGCATTTAACCCAAGAGGAAACATTGATTAATTCATACAGATAAAACCTTATTATATCATACTATAATCAAAAACCCAATTTTGATTTTCTTTAAAATCCTTCGCTTTCTCAGGAAACAAAGAAGAAGTAGGCGCTGACCTTATCAGAAGAGTGGGAATGTGATTTGGCTTGGGACTTCTTGGAGAATTGTTGAGCCGGCTTGGAGTTCTTCTTGGGGTCTGACAGAGGCTCCGGATTGGCGATGGTTCGAATATCGGATTTCCGGTTGCGAAAAATAACTCCTGAAGAAAGCGAGGGCGATGAGAGCACCCAGCAAAACCGAAAGCCCCGTAATGAGTAGGACCGGATCCATTTCAGGCTATCCGTAGAGGATTGGAGAGAAATTTGGAAACTGGAAACAGCTGAGTCTTATTATGGTAGGCCTACAAAGGATCTACGTTCTCATAGATGGAAGCGCGGTGTGATGACGCGTTTTGCAGAATTTTCTGCACATGCAGGGTACCCAAGTAGAATGTTTACTATTGCGCTCCGAGTACTAACCTGGGACATCTGAAGTCGATTTTGGTCATTTTCTCCTTAAACAGAACAATTGAATCTTTTTTTTTTTTTTGACACAAGGAAGCAAAAAAGCAAAACAAAATAGAAGCAACAAAGAAAGCAAAGGACAGCAGAGGGAGGGCACAGGGTGAATTTAGATAATTCAGGAAATTGGACACATGCGATGCCGAAGCCCAAATGATAGAAATCAGGTGCCACTCCCAGAGACCACTTCGTAAGAGAGCAAGCCTAAATGGAATAATTTTATCTCTACCACTGACCTACTGTTAAGTGCTTTACTTAATTACGTATGTCCGTGTGACACTGTGGCATTCATCTTGGCATAAACAATAAAGCTAAATGTCATTTTACCGTTGAAGTATAGGGGAGCGTCTTGTGTTTTGAACTAGATTTTAGATATTTTCCCCTAAGCATTTGAAACAAACTAAGGTTGCTCTTACAGTTAACTTTGACTATTAAGTCATTTTATTTGATCAAAAAACATTTACATGGCTCTCCATGTGGCATTCAAGTGCTAATGTTGATATTTTTGTGTAAAATTGTGAATAAGGCGATTAGAACAGAAGGTTCTATAAAGATACATTGTGCCAATATTTAACTGTTCACATCCATTCATGATTGTTGAGCCTTTGGACATATCATGGCCATTAATTTGCACTACTTGACCATTAAACCCAAAAACATCCATTAGAAAAAGCTAGCTTGGACTGAACGCTAATCGAAAATGTCACATCTAATGCCATGGAAACTAAGTTGACTTCTTGAAATGCTAACTAGACTATTATTCTTTTCTTCCTCTCTCTCTCCTTTATCTCTTCCTCAATATCTATTCCAATCTCTCAACAAATACACCTCCATTATCACTTTGAAGAAATAATCGCTTACAACTCTATTATCTTGATGATTAATTAGCAAAAGTTTGACAAGAAGATGAACTCATAATGCCCTTGCATTTGAAGGGAGGATAGAGAAATTAAGAAGAAAATCAAATCTTTGGGAAGGAAAAACCAAATCCATGTTTCAAAGAGAAGCTTGAACAAGACCAATAATCTCCCACCCTAAGGCTTACTACGTTGGCGGCTTGTATATACATAAGCAATTTTAGGCGTGAAGAAGAGGTTGGCATTTCTAAAACTTAGCATTCTTAAAAACATGAACAAACCCTAGAAGCAAAATCAGGGAAAAAAAATGTTGATTGTGAGAAGTAAGTTATGCTATGGCAATAGATAAGATAAGCAAGGAATTCTTTGAAAAAACTACGAAGAAAGAAGGCACAACCAAAGGCCAAGAAAACACCTACCCTGAAAAAACTTACAATACAAAGAAGATAAGTCCATGTATCAAACTTCGATCAAGCAAGCAGAAACCATATTTAAGGTGAGATTTGATCAAGCAAATCCATGTTTCAAACTTCAATCAAACAAGTAAAGGCAGGATTTAGACTTTGATAGAGCTCGAGCAAGGGCTACTTGAATCACAAACTCACATATAGAACCCTGAGCATGTGTACATGTAGACAATGGACCACCTAGACTTAGCAGATGAAAATGATGGACCTAGACTCAGCATTCAACAAATGATGGAACTCTAAATCTAAATAATAAACCCAAACCATGCAGACAATGGTGAAAGGACATGGATTCCCTTAAAGCAAGTAGTAGATATAAATGCCTAAATTCAAAGAAATGAAAGAGAAACATGGAGCTAGAGAAATGGAGTGAGCTAGAGATCTAAACACAGCAAGATATTTTTAGGAAAAAACAAGTGATAAGAGTGAAGAAGAAGAACAACAGTCCAATTAGCATTTCAATATGTCAACTCAATTCCACTTGGCATCAAATGTGGCATTTTAATTGAAGTTCAGTTGAAGTCAGCTTTTTCTAAATAGATATTTCTAGGAATTTAATGGCATAGTAGATGATGCTTCTATTTAATTACTATAAGGGAAAAATGCTCCAACGAATACTTTAAAATATTAGGTGCTCCTTGAAAAATACTTCAAGAGTAAAAATGTACATTTACCTAAGAATTAAAAGTCTTAAAAGTATTAGGAAGGAACCTATTATACATAGGGCTTTCCTTACCTTTTATTCAAAAGAGTTCTCTTATTTATAGATAAATGTTAATAAATAGGAGAGGACTATTAGCTCTCACAATTCCCATTAAAAGCAAATTGAAAAGTTTCCACCTTCAACAATACTTGAAAACAACTTCACAATTCAACTCAAAAAAATAGATGTATACAGGCATTTCACAAAAATAATTCTTCAATGAAGTAATGCAGTTTTGGAAGGACCATGGTGTATCACTAATACGGGTTTGTTGTGGTCTTATTAGTGATTGAAGAAGTACCTGTCAATGGTGAGAGTTAGTACATCAGTGGTAATGAAGGCCACTGTGTGCGTGTAGGATCTTATAGATGGCGTGTTAATCATTACTTATCATTACATCACTTATATGGGATAATGAGGTTCACAAGATTCAACGACAATGAATAGGATGCACTAAGAATGGTCATCTCACAACTATAAGATTTTACCTGAAAATATACTACATATCTCATAGCTTAGTATCCTTATTCCTTGCATAAAGCATTGACCATACAAAACTTTTATAATAATTCATATATGGAAGTGATACCCAATCTCACTCATGTTTCAATAGTTATATAAACTATGGTCCTTCAATCTACCCCTACTATTCCTATTTAATAGATTGGCAACCATTATCAAGAAACCACCACCAACACAGCAGGAATGGATATTGATATTGATATTGATAAGTACACTTCCAGATAGTTCAAAGCTTAGGAAGGAACTAGGGTTTATAATAGATCAAGCAAAAAATCTATCTTTGGCAAACCTTATCCTAACTTATGTTGAATTTACAATTTAAAATATGTAGTCTATACCATTTCTTATTGTAATGGAAATGGATTCGTAAGAATGAATTAATTTATGAAGGATTAAAGTACAAATCTACCCTTAAAAATTTTCACGCAGATGCAACTAATTTCTTAAATTTTTTGGCGCAATTTTGTCCAAGTGTTTTTTAATTTGGTACATTGTTGACCTATTGTTAAGGTTTGATTGTGTTGACCATTAAGTTTAAATTAAGTCTCACCATTATCTATCTTGTTCGCTTGCTAGTTTAGATCCACATGTCTCTTCTCTCTATAGCCTTTTACTTCTCCCCCTAAAGTCCAAACCCATATCATATTTGCAAAAAGCCTTGCTTTTCCCTTCCATATCTTCTTCCTCCTCAGATTCCAATCCTCACTTCAATCCTCAGATTGCAATCATAAAGGGTAGAAAGCAGGAGAAATGATCTAGGTTTGATTGAGGAAGGAATTAAGAACCTCGCAAAGGAGTATGGCAATGAACTCATGAGAAGAGGAGCCTCTCCACAAATTCAAGTAGTTACCACATACTGTCACCATTAGATTTTTGTTTGAGGTGTTTGAGGAGCCTAAAGTTAGAAGTAATTGCCAGATCCATTCTAGGCTTTCAAGGAGCTTAGATTTAGAAGTAATAGCCTAATTAGTTTGAGGAGCCTAGATTTGTAAATTTGTAAATTAAATTCCTCAAGACTCTAGCAAAATAATTCTTTTTTTTTTGCAAATTTTTTGGATTCAATCTAATCATCCATATATCTAGTATGTGGAAGAAGAAGGTTCTAGTCTTCATAGGGACAACCTTAAATCTACTAGAAACACTGTGTTGAAGATTTCTTAATATGTTTTTTTATTTCTTTTTGTGGATGTTCCTGAGTTAAGTTTGTTTGACTCTAAAGTTAAGCCATCATCAACTTTAAAACCAAAAACTGTCTTGACATTTCTTTTAGCTTTCCCCTTATTATATTCAAATCTTTGATGATTAGCACTCTTCTCATTGGACTTTAAGTCAAGTTTCTTTTTAAGCTTTAGGAAGAAGTAAAGGGGTTTTGTTAGAATTTGGGAGAGTTGGAGGGGTTATATGTGATGTCGAAATACAAGAGTTATAGGAGTTGGCATTATTGTTTATATGAGTGAGGGTAGTCATGTGAGAACTTGAACTTGTAAAGAAAGAGCTTGAATATAAGTTTTAGTATTGAAAAAATTGAGTTTTAATTTAAAAAATGATGTGGATGCCATCTAGCATGCTAACTTAGCAAAATCAAGTCAATTAATGGTTGACATCTTCTTTTCATTAGGTCAGGGCAACATTGCACTAGTTTGAAAAACACTAGGGGTGAAATTGTACCAAAAAAACTTAAGGATATCAAGTACACTTGCATGGACACTTTGATGATAGATTTGTACCTTAACCCATTTATGAATTCTAACTTTGCTTCTCTCTGTTTCATCATCAAATGTTTAAAGTAATAGTGTCTGTAAAAGTAAATCAGTCGAGTAAAATATACTAATACTACATGAAGATTATTAAGTAATAAGACAGCAATTGGACCTACAGCATGAAAAATCTTAATGAATTACATACTCATCATTTTATAAAGACATCATGTCGTATATACAAGTGATATGGTAGTAAAATGGCTAGTAGGAAAGTTGTTTTCATGAAAAAAAATACTACTATCATAGCTAAACTGAAAAAGCAATTGTGTAACTTAACAATTCAACTTTGAGCACGAGATCATTCAGCCCTTGTCACAAAAACCTACATCTCATTAGGCTGGCAATTGCTAGCAAGTATGGCAAGGCTATGATAAAGACATGAAACCAAGCAAGAGATCTTTTAGCACATGTCCCAAAACCTAAATGTCAAAGGTATGCTAGTCTTATAACAAAAGATTGAGAATGTGATAAAAGATTGAGAATGTGCTGTCGCATGTTATGAGCTAAGGTTCATAAAATTATGACTATTGAATTGTCTACATAAAAAAGTAATTGTAATAAGTTAGCAATATTAAAGTAATTTTGTTATATGCTTTTAGGGTCAATGTCCAATTTTGCCCATATACTTATTTTTTAATAGTACTGGGCATCCTATACTTTTAAGTGAGGCAATTTTATCTCTGAATTATTTTTTTCAAGGAGCAAAAAATCCCTTCTATTAGTCAACCGATAATTTTTTTTATTTTTCTGCTCGCGTGACATGTACGTGGAGCCCATGTATAGTAACATGTACGATTTTAGCCATGTCCTTTAGTGTTAATTTGTCCATGAACTCTTTTTCTAAGAGCATTCAATAGCCCTAAAGT